GAAACCATAGAGTTTTTTTAACGACATGAGTGTAAGTAAATGATGACAGAATGATCATTTTTGGTTAAAGTAAGCCTTTAAACCCCATTAGCCAATCCCTAGAGCTGCCATGATACAGAGCACAGCTAGAGAGAAGTACAGTGAACGATCATAATGGAAATAGACATTTAGTGAAAGCCATCATCAGGTTTCAGGATACTAATGTGCATGCAAGTCATTTTCTAACCTGCTGACCTCTCAGAAGCCCTGATGCCCCTTATTGAAGACTGGCTTAGAAACCCTGCATTTCATTTCATGCATGATCAGCACCTCTCTCTGATCTGCCTCATCAAGTTCAACCAGAAAGGATAAAAAGAAGAGGAAACGAGTAGTTTTATGCAGATCTAATCATCTCTCCCTTCAACGGAGTCAAGTCAATTATAAAACAAGCTCCGTGTGTCGAGCACAATTTAACTGCAAATTAAAAATCAGACTCGGCTGATGGCTAGGGTTGTGTTTCTTCAAGACGGGCATCAATTTATGCACAGAGGGCAGGGAAGCCATAAACTAGCGGCTATTCAGAGCGTGAAAAGGAGATGCAAATTATTCTGAAGTTTCAGCGGTGAAGAAGTGACGACGCACCATTAACAGTCAATAACCCGGCGGTAGCACTGCTGATAGATAGACAGTGATAGAGGAGTGGGCCAAAAGCATCTCGAGAAGTATTCTCTTAAACTCAACCCTGCTTACATTGCAGGAAAAAAAGCCTCATTAGTCAGATGTAAACACAATGGAGCCCAACTTTTGAAATAAAAAGCTCAATGAAAAGCAGATTCATTAATGACATTTGGAGTCACCCTCAAACATTGTAAAAAAAAAGATTCGAGTCTCTATCTAATGCTGAATTGATTTTGCAAAGCCGCACACACGGGCAAGGCTTGGAATGCAAAACAGCTTTTATAACCCATAAGCTAACATTTATTTCCTGAGTTAAAATACGGGGGAGAAGTGCACTTGAAGTAAATCTGGCAAATATTGCGTCGAGTTAACAAATAAATCAAATGTACACTGTGAAAATTAATGCGCTTTATCTAATCAAAAAATCATGGCAACAGATTACAAGCAATATTATAAATTCAATTTAACAATAGAATTAAGTAATAATTAATTCCTTAAAAGTTTACCATTTAAAATGAGTTAAACGTACAAAACCCCCCCAAAAAGATGCATTTAAGTCACCATTATGGTGATCAGTGTTTGTTTTAGGTTTGTTTTAAAATGACAGTTTTCTCCTTCAGTGATTCTGCTTGTTAACATCAGGTGTCTTCAATGTTGGCAATTTAAAATAAAGAGTTCTTAATTAATCTTTGACGTCTGTCTGTTAGTGAGATATTTTTGTTTAATTTTTTTGGTGTAAACTTTACTAATTTGAAATGGTTAACGTTTAAGGAATTAATTTGATTAACTATTACTCAATTCTAATTTGTTCAATTTAATGAATAACATTGCTTGTAATCTGTTGCCACAATTTTATTGATTCATAATATTTAAAGCATATTCATTTTTACAGTGTAAAAAAAAGAACCGGACACACGGCGTTTCATAGCTACCCTTTAATAAACAACTCTGAATGACCTGTTGACCAGCTAAAAGAGGTCATCGGCAAAAAAGCACTGATAATGATCTGACATGTATGTTGAAGTTCAGCGATGTGCATTGTGCAATTCTGCTGGAATGAAAGTGTCGGTGTTCCTTCACGGGGTCGCATCTTCAATTCACTGTGAGCGAAACTTCTCTGACAAACTGTAATACAAACAGGAATCTCGACCATATTGTTTGCAATCAAGGTTGGTGGATAAATGCTCTCATGCAACCTCAATAGGAAGTAAAAACGTAACATTTGAAATTAAAATTAGAAGCCACAGTTGTTCTATTATAATTATATCCGTTTTAAGTGACTATTAAGTGACGTGGAAGTATACACACACACACACACAGGGACGTGCACAGACATTTTGAGGGGCAGGGGCTCAAGTGAAAAAAGGGCACTTCTCATAATTACGTTTTTTTTTTTTTTTTACTTTTTTTTAAACAAAAAAGTATATATATTAACACAACTCTGACTTTTTGTAAAATGTATTTAAAAAGTTAATTAATTTTATCTTCTTCAAACTCACGCAATTGTTTCGTTTTCAAAAGACGTCTACAGAATAATCGGTTCACACAGAAACCATGGACTCCTTAGTATTCATAGGTTTATAGAGCACATATGAAGAGTTCAGATGCAAAAGCCTCTAAATGCCATTTGAAATTTTATTCTTTAATGATGATTTTTATCAAACTTGTATATTTAAGTTCAGTAATTTCACTTAAATAACAATTAATAGGTAATTATCATTGCCATTTAAGTGAAATTACTGAACTTAAATATACAAGTTTGATAAAAACCATCATTAAAGAAGAAAATTTCAAATGGCATTTAGAGGCTTTTGCATCTGAACTCTTCATATATATATATATATATATATATATATATATATACATAAATATTAGGGCTGTCAAACGATTAATCGCGATTAATCGCATCCAAAATAAAAGTTTGTGTTTACATAATATATGTGGGTGCACTGTGTATAATTATATATATATATATATATATATATATATATATACACACACATGCTTGTATACATTTAAGAAATATTTTCATGAATATACTGTATATAGATCTATATATAATTTATATTATATATAAAAATAAATATTTTAAATATCATTAATATTTTTTTCTTAAATATACATGCATGTGTGTGTATTTATATATATATATATATATACAAAATAATTATACACAGTGCACCCACATATTATGTAAACACAAACTTTTATTTTGGACAGCCCAAATATATATATATATATATATATATATATATATGGTATTTTACTTGATACAACACTGAATTCTGTTGTTTTCATGTTGTTTAGTTTCATTAACAGTTCTTGAACACCCGATTTTTCCTCGATCAAAGTACATGGTATGTGGGGAACTGGGAATTAGAATATAGGAACCAAAATGGTTAAATTACAGTCTTAATCCAGACTAGTTAAAATTAGAATACAGTATATGGCAGAAAAAATAAAACTTGAAAGTTATTTGTCTTTAAACCCAATTGTTTGTTAAACTGGAGCTCTTTGATGCAGGCTTATTCTGCTTTAATTCTACCGTACATTAACATCTTCGAATAAAACACTCTTGCACAGTGTTACGTCTCAAAGAAAGAAAGAAAAAACACATAGCAACAGCAAGAGAAAGACAACTGCGGTAAAAAAAAAAGACTCTCTCACTTACATTGAGTTTCATCAGACACCCCTCCCAACGCCCCCCAAAACCCTAGTGATCTCTCCTGGAGTCCCGAGCGCTGCATTCAGAAATCACAGAAGGACTGAGGGACTCGTTTCTGCAGAGAACGCATTAGAAACGGAGCACCTCCTCCACACATTACACACTTTCTTCAGGTTGCATCAACTCCTGTCCCAGCAAACCTTCAGCCGATGAATGGTAGAGCACTTCGAGCAGAAACACCAGTCACAGACAAAGCTGGAATGATGGAACCACAGACCATAGGACATCTTTCAAATGAATCTAAACCCCTGCTGCTTGATGAAGCGCTCGTCTGCTCAGGTGCCATTACATTCAGAGAGATGCGTATTAATGCCAGGCTTGCCCAAAGTCATTGCTGAGTAGGTCAAAAGTCTCATTACACAGATGTGTCCAAATGCATGAATGTGGGCCACACAAAAAATCCTCTGAATCATTTTTTTGTTGAAGATCTGTCAAATATCTTCATATTTTTGTAATATGCGCACAATAAAAATCACAATAGCGTTTGAATATAAGATTGAACTGTGTTCTCAAGACATTTTCATATCATTAACAGGTCAGACTCAGGGCAATTTTGTTTACTATTTCTGATAATACAGTGTATATTTGACAGTTTATAAATGATATTAAATTTGGATTTATGATTGTCATAACTGTATTACTGAAAACCCTACGGTTAAATGACCATTCAATTGTTACAGCTTACATCAATTGACAACACATACAGTATTGGCCATGTTTTTAAATTTGATCTTTGTTTTGTTTTTTTGTAGCAATACAAAACTCCACAAAATAGAATACCAGATTAGAGCTGTGTTCAAATGAAGAGTTCAGATGCAAAAGCCTCTAAATGCCATTTGAAATTTTCTTCTTTAATGATGATTTTTATCAAACTTGTATATTTAAGTTCAGTAATTTCACTTAAATAACAATTAATAGGTAATTATCATTGCCATTTAAGTGAAATCACTGAACTTAAATATACAAGCTTGATAAAAATGATCATTTTAGAAGAAAATTTCAAATGGCACTTAGAGGCTTTTGCATCTGAACTCTTCAAATATTTAACTCGTATACTGCAAAAATAACCCAAAATCACATGCATTTTCCATTTTTTTCCATGCACAGTCTCTAACATCAGCTCAATAGAGATCCTTATTTCAATAATGAGTGCTGGAGATGCTCAGATACATGTTTTCATATGCATATCATATTATAAAAGCAAGCAAATTCAGAAAGGTAGCCTTAGATTCTTATTTATCAAAAAAAGGATAATCTAAACTGGAAATCACTTATGACAGAATTAAAACCCTGCAAACATACGAGCATTCAAACAGGTCTTTTTAAAGGTCTCTGAACAACGTTTATTAATCGATACGATATCATATATGATTTGAGTGTCATACTATAAAGCGCACGATCATCACGCTGACAAATGTGGGATGTAGATTCCTCATCTGAGAAAATTTCATAAACCGAGCAGCATTATTATGATGAATCAGCATCTACGGTTTGATTAAATCTTCTTTCACTCCGATTTTTACCTAGATATGAAAAACTGCAGAGTAAAAGAACAAATCCCCCCAATCAGAAATCAATATATCTCAATATTGCATATTGACAAACACACGCGCCTTACCTGGTGCTGAAACACACTGCGCCCTTATGATGAAACAGCAGCTTTGTGCTGGTGCGTGTATGTGTGTGTGTGTGTGCAATCCACACATTTCTGCACATCCCCCTAGCTGTCACTATAATACCTCTAATTCACAGCAACACACACAGGGAATCCCCATAGACGTGCGCGCCTCTGATTCCAATCACGCTTATTAAATTTGTTTACGACACGACACAAAGCAGCTCGTTTGCAGCTGTGAATCAACATAAATGCGCGTGCGCTTATATATTGCTGCTTTAGGTATATGCTATTGATATAATATGACAGCAAGTGGGAGGCGTGCATGCACACTCAGCACAACAACATTCTCACACATTTAATGAAACAATAATCGAGTCGACTCACCCGAACAGAAGCCTTTCTCTATGCGCGTGTGGAGTGAGTCCAGAATCCAGAGTGTGTTTGAGTGAAATCAGATGTGTAAATGTGTTATTGTTGCTCGGATTCTCTTTCTCTTGTACCGAAATCATCAGACGTCATGTGATGTTTGATCACGTGGCTTCATTCATGTAGGCTCTACGACACCGCTCATTTAAAGGAGCAGTCTTCAATACAATTTTTAATCATTCAAATAATTCCTCATGTATTATATAAGGAGGGTCTAAGTAGCATCTCGACAAACCAAAACCCTTTTTTTTTATTAAAAACACATAAATGAGTGGTCAACATGTTAGATGGTAACATTTTACATTAGGTGGAAAAGTGCATCCATTTTTTTCATTTTTTTATTCCAGAGAGATGTTTTTAAAGGGTCATGAAACCCTAAACCAAATTTTCTGTGATTTTAACAGAGGTATGTGTGTTGAACACCCATGAAGACAACGTTAGCCTCTGTTAGATTTAATAGTAGGGTGAAAATGGTTACATTTTATTTTTCCCCCGCTATTTTTATCTTCATCGTGTCCACGTCACAGGCTGTGACGTCGCAGAGCACTGTTATGGTGTGTTCACACCAAACGCGAATAGAGCGTCAAATACAAGTCTATCGCGTCTAGTTCAAATTCAGTTCAAATTTTTCAACTTGCGCAGTAGACATCTGCAGCAAACGCGTCGCCCAATTTGCGTCATTCGCAACACCCGGCGCGAATGATGCGATTATTTGGAGATGGTCCTCACTGCGGAACATGAAATCCATGGGGAGGAGTCGGATCCAGATCCAACTCTTCCCACCTTACATACACCTAAACCTAACCAACTCCGCCCCCTGATCCGTAAACCCACCCCTAATCCCTAAACCCAACCCTAATCCTACCCATCTCCACCCCTTGGATCGTGATCCGACTCCTCCCCGTGGATCTCATGTTCTGCATTGAGGTGCTACTGATTATTTGCGTCGTTGCATTGACTTTATATGTAATCTACTAGTAATCTAGTTTTCATATCCTATGAGAAGACACTGCTCTTAATTATTCATGACACCACGTGGATCTTTCCAATGACAGACACATAGATATGACGTCTATAAACAAACTGTGAGAGAGCCAGTCATGGGACGCAAGTGTTTGTTTTCGTCGTGCAGAAGTTCAAGTGCGTTGAATTTATTTCCCCGCGATGCTGCCAGGGCCAGACCGCGGCTCCGGGCGGTTGGTTGGTCATCAACCACGGACTCATCTAAATTATATGTGAGCAACAAACATGTTTCAAGAACTGGAGAATGATGGACTTCAGCCTTGTTGACAACCAATGTATGTTGCGTCTTGCGAGTAATGTGGTACCAAGTCCCGAGGACTTTTCTATCCCTTCAGAGTTATGTGTGTGTCTAAAATGTAACCCTGATCGTTTCACTTGCCTTTTGTTAAATAAGCACTCGTCATTAAAATTTTTAATATTTCGATAATACCTCAATTGTATGCTTAATTCGTGTAATTAAATATATGTCATTGGGGTTCGGGGGCGCGTAGATCTCTAGGCTATGCACGGAACGTTATTATTTTTTAAGCGAAAAATTAATTATTTTCAAATATATGCAATTATAGTGTGTATATAACAACTACATATTTTATAATGACATAATTAGACATGTACATTAATATGTTTTAAATAGAATTATGATTACTGTAAGTTAATATATGTAGCAGGGCATTCAGTAACTTTTGAAAGGACAATAATAAAGTGTCAGTGTATTTCATTAGACTTTAACTTTTCCAGCTATAAAAGTAATCTAGCATTTCCTCTCGTTTTTGCACTGATTTTTAGTGAGAGTTGATATGCATGGGACACTGGCTGATGACAGTTCCCCCTTCCCCTTCCCCTGCCGTGCCATACCACACCCACTCCCTCCCTTCTCACAGCCATCCACGCCCATTTAAGTTGCATTTTTCAAAAATATATTGTGAGCTAGACTTGAGCTGAAAGAGGGGGGTTTCATGAACCTTTAATGGTAAATGGACTGCATTTTTATAGCGCTTTCATAGACCCAATGGCCACCAAAGCGCTTTACATATTGCCTCACATTCACCCATTCACTCAATCATTCATACACCGATTAATATTTTGTTTTATACATTATACAAACATTTATATAAGAAATGACACATTAAATACATACTGTGCAAATGTCAGTATAATTGGACTATCGATTATATAATACAGACGATTGAAGTGTCACGCCATTTTAAAGTGACTAAAAAAAATACTAAAAATTACTATTAAAAATTGACTAATAATTTTTTTTAAATTAAAAAATTAATCAGTGTTTGTTAAAAATGACAATTCAAATTAGCTTTCTAATTGCAAAACACCTCAGATCAGTTAAGCAAAAAAATAAAATAAAATAAATTGGGTAAGCAATTAATTTTTTTAAATCAATGGCATAGCTGGCATAACTTCCTTCACTATGTGTCTTTTTAAAGAATACATTGTTTTCTCTGTCCTTTTAAACATAAACTCGAACGTTTCTAATGACAGAACAGTATCATCTAGTTTGTGCAATTACACGCACGCACGCACACACACACACACACACACACACACACACACACACACACACATAGTTTCTTTAGAAAAAACAGGACTCTTAAATTGAAAGCAACTTTCTAGTAGTTTAGTTTGCTGCTGCTATCTTCACATCATAACCCAGAGCAAACCACTCCATGCTGACAAAAAGTGCTGTGAGCAGGGTTGCCTCCATAACATCCAGAAGAACCTCCTTAACCAGTTCAGTCTGTTTGAAAGATGCTTACTTTGGACCTTTGGTAGGGAATATACACACGTTGAATTGGTAGTTCAATGAAAAAATTAAAAACCATCACCATTTATTATTACAAAGCTTTATGCATGGAACACAAAAGAAGATATTCTGTAAAAATGAGACAGAAGAAAGCAATGCATACAGGTTTGGAACAAATTTTGAGAAAATTATAACAAAAATGTTCATTTTCCCGTAAACATTTAAGGCATGTAAACTTAGAAGTAAAAAAAGAACTTAGAAGTAAAAAAAAGAACAATAAAACTTTAGAAACAAAAACCTGCACAGACTAAAACAAGTAAGAAAAAATAAATTGCCCTCCAACCTTATTAGTAGATTTTAATTTCCCCAGAATCAATTCCTCATGATATAAAAAAGAGCTACAATAAATCATTTGCAGTGAAATACAAATCTCAGTAGATATCTATATGTATTAAGGATATCTGTGGGGGAAATGCAGTAAATTCAACAAAATATATCAAGTTACCAATCACACTGAATATAATAACAAACTATTTCTCACTATCAATGTACAGTGCTGATGTTAATTTATAATAAAATGGCTTTTCAGCTACACAGGACATGAACATCTTCTTCACCTTAAATGTACAGTAATTTGCGCCCAAAGACAGATATCGGGCCATCAATGTACATAAGTTTGTCTATGTTTGTACAGTAATGTTGTATGCAACAGGTCCTTTAAAAGTGAAGCCCAGGTAAAATGTGACATTCTCGTTGTTATGGGGTATTGAGGATGACTTGAGAGCTGGGATTTGAAATTTCATTCCTTTGGGACCTTCCAGAAAAACCTTCTCATCCTCCGTCCAGCCTGTGACAGATCTCAGCAATTTAGAGATTTCTGGCATTTTCCATACTTCTCCACTAAACCATTTCATGCGTTTTTCTGAAATAGACAGCAGTTTTGTGATTGTTTCAACCTTGCTCTTGTGGACAAACTTTTCAAATCCAGTCCCATTGCCCAGGAAGAAATGAGTGTAGATCCTCTTTTTCCTTGGAGGGATGTCCTTCAGTTTCTTGTTGTAGTTTCTCTGGAGATGTTCAACAGCAGAGAGAACAGTTTCATACTTGTGTTCTTTCTCCACTTCTGTGTCATGCTCTTCTGGCCAGAAAAGTAAGACGAGTAAGAAAAGAGCACTTGGCAAGCATCTCAGTTTCTCTTTAGGGAATTGGTGACTCAGCCTCTGCAGATCCTGAAATGCAGCCAGCTTGGAAGACTGTGTTGAGAGGCAACTTAAAGCAAAATGAGATGCTATGTACTTGACAAGGTCCGCTGGTAGCATTTGTGCCCTCATAGGATTCCTTGGGTAAAGTGAAATAATTTGCTCCAGAACACTCACAGGGTTACCATCTTTCTGGTTGGTTAGGAGGGAAAAAATTGTTGTGATGTTTCCGCCGCCATGATAATAAATCAACATGCGTTTCATGAGAGGACTTAAGTGCCCTTGGTTTTGATCTGTAAAAAGAGAAGCACCACTGAATAATTTGCCATAAGCAAAAGACTTATTGACCAGCCAGTGCATTGGATGCTTTATGGTCCTCTCAACAGTGTCAGATGTCTTCTCCTCATCGGTTTTCAGGTCAGTCTGGAAGTAACTCAAGTCTTCCGAAATCCATTCCAGTGCTTCCAGCATTATTTTTTGGAGGTTTTTCAGCTTCCAATGATACTGTTCCCAGGGTTCTTTTATCTCAACAGGAATGTAATCTGTAAGGAGGTATTTGATTAATTCTGAAGACTTTCTTTTTGAGAAGACATGAAGAGTGCGCATTAGATTCAGCAATGCACATCCTACCTCTACTACTCCAACAAATCCAGCATTGTTGATGGTCTCATTGTCCTCAACTGCTGCATTCTTGCATTCCTGGAAACATTCAATGGCTTTTAGTGCCGTTTCCAAAGCATCTACTGTGTTTTTAGGTGTTTTTTCATCCTGCTCCATGGCTTTACATTTAGCTGTGAACCACTGCCTGTACACCTGACCTCTGGTATCAAGAATATAGGAATTCTTTGGCCTTTTCTCTACTGCAGTTTTTGCCCACTTTTCTGCTTCTTCAAATCTGTCATGTTTGTAATTGAGACGAGCCAGTTGCTGAGCAAAAAATGCATCCTCATTAAAACGCTTGTAAGCTGCTTTTAGAAGTTCAATGGCTTTATCTGGACACTCTTTCTCTCTCACGTGCTCAATTAGGGGAGAGAAAAAGCTGTCAAATTTATCACCTTTGCTTATCCTGTGGCGTGTCATGAACAGATCTCGCAAGAACTTCATGTACTGATCTTTACCAAACCTGTGCTCAAAGAGCACATCATTGTTGAGAAGATCCAAAGCAAGATCACTTTGTTGTTGTTTGTCACCCAGAAATTGTAGGATTTCCTTTGCAACAAGTGGATGAATGATTCTGATGGAGTTAATATAGGTGTTTTCATCCCTCAAGTGTATTAAGACCAATTTAGCTGCCTCACTTAGAGAAGTCTCAAAGGCATGTTGTCGAAACCTATCCACACAGATGGACAGAGCCAGGAGAGCTTCGCAATGTGACTGAGAGATGAAAGAGTTCTGCACATAAGTGTTGAGCAATGCCACATACTGAACAAGCTTAGTAACAACAGACTTGTGGTCAATGTCTTGCAGTAAATTCTTGACAAACTTCTTCACATATTCAGCAATTGTGTGGCTCTCAAATTCCTCACTCATCAGGACAAATGTTAGAATGAATTCTGGCTTGAACTGTTTTTCAAGTCTTTTTCGTTTTGTGGAAAACTGCATTTTTTCGGTCTCAGAAAGTTTATGAGTAATAGAAACATTCTGTTGAGGTGATTCCTTGCACATCTTCTCTGGATTGTGTGATCGCTTACAACTTAGCAGAATGAAGCAGAGAGTTCCACGTGCTATTTTCTTAGTATTGACAGCCACTTCCAATTCATTCTTTACATCTTCTAAATACTCTTGATCACAGTCTTCAAACAACAGGAGAACAGGGAGGCATTTTTGGGGATCTTTTTCTTCGTATTCCCGGAGCCAAACAGCATCTTCTGAAACAACCGATGCAGATTTAGAATGATCTACAACGGCACACCTTAGATCCCTTCGGTTATTCCACAGTACCTGCCTTGCCACAGTACTGCCACCACTGCCAGGATGATGGTATATGTTGATGCAGCTGATGGGTGCTCGATCTAAACTCCAACTGAGACAGTCTTTCACCATATTGTTGACTTCATTGTAAGCATCTCTTTGAATAACCTCCCCAATGATTTTTTTCTCTGCAAGCCAGAGATTCATCCAAGTTACTTTTCCTCCATGGTAAAACTGCTGCTCAATCTTCACCTTTTCAGATTCCATGATATCGGGACTAGTTTCTTCACAGTGGTTTAGACTCAGAATCTCTAATGAACATCTTGCTTCCTCCTCTCGAGTATCAAGGAAACACTCCCCTTTGACATGGATCGGTAATCGTTTGGTGGCCCTTGTAGTGGTAGGCTGGACCTGTTGGAGGGTTGCATTTACCTGACTTATTGTCATCCCAACAACACTTGAACTGTTTACTGTTTCCATGTCACAGGATCCTAGAGCAAACCTTTGCCAGTCCTTGAAATTCTCCTCTGATTCAGCAAGGCAGATAATGTCTTCATGTCCTTCCATGTCAGTGAAGAACTCATAGAACGTGTTGAGGAATGGTGTGTCAACCGGGGAAGTAAGAAGGAAGATCACTTGAAAGGTTCCTTTTGGCAAGATATCTTTGCAGATCAATGACACACAATCTTTTAGAAGAGTTCTTTTTGTTTTGACCCAGGTCTTCTCATCACAGGAAGGCTCGTTGCCTTTGTAATCGCTCCGTCCATTGCAAAATATCCAGCTGGTTTGATCAAACAGACGCAGATGACTCTCCAAGTCTCGGATGCTCAAGCCACTGGGAATTTTGTAGTTCTGCATGAAATGGCGGTTCACTACATGATGCTTATTGTATTCATGGCATAACCCAGAACCATTGGAATCTGGATCAAAGTCAAACACACAGAAGATGTTCATGTTCAGCAAAAAATCTATGTGTTGCAGATCCTTCTCCTGAAATCGATTGGTGACAAGTATGTGCCATTTTTCCTTGTCCATTATTTTCTTTCCACCTGTTATAAGCATTTTGAGCTTTTTTTCCCAGGTTCTGGCACAGTTTTGGTGCTGTGAATTGATCATTTTTCTCTGCCTCTTCTCTCTGAGCATCCCTAAAATTGATCTGTTGGTAGAACTCATCCAGGTCAGCCACCGGTTCTGTTTTAGAACCCACTCTCCGATAAGCGGTTTTCTTCTCAAAATTAACTTTGTTTGCCTTCTCATTGAAATTTGGCAGGCTAACAGAGAACACCTTATTCTTCACTATGTTTACTGCTGGCTTAATATCAACCTCCACAACATAGTGTTCCACATTGCTGTTTGAACCAACTACTTTAACAAACTGAGGTTCACCAATACATAGTCGTACAAGTTCGCTATCAGAGCGAGAGAAACTCTTCTCAATGTAATCTAATGAATCACAGTATACATCTTTTTCCTCGACAGGAACACCAATGATTTCACCATGTACATAACCAGTGTCACCTCTACTGTCCATGACACCAAAATGTATTGTGCCATTTGTACGAACATTCATACAACCAGTAGCAAACTTCAGCACTTCCTTTGCGAACTTGGCCTGTAGTCTTTGGCGGTCCAGTGTTGCAGCAATGGCAAATGACTTGTACTCATGACATGGAAAAACAAAATCACTAACCCCTGATTCTGGTAAGAGTACACTGTTCTTAACATATGTAAAATCAACACCTTTCATATAAAAAGGTCTTGGTTTTGAATCTCTCTTTGTTGTTACCACAAGTACAGAATCTTCTTCCTTGTTCTCTTCATTGACATCGGCTCTTGTGTCAACACTTTTAATTGCACTTGCTCCATGGTCATTTTTTTCAGAAGACTGTTTGTGTGAAGTATCATGTTGTCGTTGGGCTTTTTGTGAATTATTTACTAACTCATCTCTTTTTTTGATTATCAAAAGCGCAGGCCCGGATTTCATTCCAGTCCATTTTTTCAAATTTTCTTCTGATAGTTCACGTAGAATCCGACCATCTACTTCCTCTTCATGAAGTTTTTCGATATATGTTTCTTTGATTCCTATCGATCTTAACCAGATGCTCACCATAGACTCATTCCATGTCTCCAGTGGAGAATCCTCTGGCTTTTCTACAAACCAAAAAATAGCCCATGGTGAGATATTTTATTTTAAAACAATGACTGGTAAGTGTTACAAAACAACTTTATACTTGCCCATTGTTTAATGTCTTCTACTGATCATTCACAGTACAAATGCAGACACCTTTACATTACAGACCTTGAAGAACAAAAATGACATTGTTAAAGCAGAGACATTTTAAAGCCATCAACAATACATTTATCTGTATTTTGTCCAGCAAAAACTGGGATGCATTTCTCAGATTAATTTCATTTTTTAATAATAGCACAACAACATTGGGTTTAAGCATAGACAGATGCATTCATTTATTTAACAGTTTATTGCTATTTCATCACATTTGCATTAACAAAGTGCATGCTATAGATACATAAATAGCAATAATCATAAACAGAAATTATAAACAAAGTATGAAAATCGTAGATTTTCAATATTAATATTCGGGTGATTAAATGGACATGCACAGGAGCATGGAGAACTATTGTAGGAGGGAACGGAGACGCTACATCAGAACTGAACTGACGGATTGGGATCTCGTATGAGAGCCTCAAAGTCACCTTTGAGTGTAAACAAAACAAGCCAATGGACATTAGCGAGTGAGACTGCCGAACGAGACGAGACAAAATGTCTCAGTTCAGGAGTTACAATATTAATCAGTCAGTCAAGTTCGACGTTACGTCAGAACTGAACTGACGATCTGCAAACCCTACCAAAACGCCACAATTTCTGACCCTTCCAGCGCCCTGAGTAAGCCTCCTGTACCCCCCTCACCTTTAGGGATGGAACAAAGGACAGGGCTTTACGAGGAAATAGCCTGTCACTGCTGGTCCTTTGACCCACACAGTGAGACTATTCCAAATGGAAAGAGATGCTATGCAGACCACATACTACCTGTAGGGAGGTAACATGTGGAGATCACACATATGGACTGACCATTGGGGCAGTGCTACATATGAAAGGTCTCCAGGGTAGAGCCAGCATCGCTAAAGGTGGAAGTCAATACTGGCAGAGCGAAATCTGACAAGGGAAAGACACAGGCTCACCAACAGGGAAGCCGTACAGTGAAAAAATACAAATGTGGTATGGGGAATCACAAGATATGGGCAGCTAGTCTAGTAAAGGGGCAGACCTTGTGGGCATACAGAGTGCTAGACCCAGCATCAGACGCGTCTGCCGCATTTAACTGCTGAGGTAGCTGGAGGACCTCTACCAGGCTTCACCAGGGAATTCACGTGGGGAGCAATATGGGCATTTGTATCCCATCCTTGGATCGGAATGGCACAGCAAGCAAGACACAGTGAGTACTAGGGATGGGTACCGAAACCCGGTATTAAACGGGCCCCGGTGCTGAATTTTGAAAGACCGCTGTATCGATAAGCTCGGACGTTATCGGTTCTGCTGTCGGTACTGGAGAAATTATTTATCATTCCTATAAAGACGTTATCTTTAACATGTTTATATCGCCAGCCTTTTCTATATATAAACTATATTTTAATTAAACCTTTTGTCTGTGATGCAAATTTGAAATTAGCAGTTCAGCAGAGAGAGAGAGAGAGAAGAGAGAGAGAGCGATCTCTCACGCAAAGCCACAGCACGCGCAACACGACAGCCCTGTTTAATGAGTGACAATGAGGACAGAACTAAACATTCAACGTGGTTACACTTTAGATGTGGGATATTATTCTAATATATTTTGTATTTCGGCTTCCAAAGATTATAAAAAGAAGATATTTGAGATAAAACCGTTAAAAAACAAGACGCATGATCTGTCCAGCTTAACTTCCTTTACTTCACAGCACTGCGGAGCGCTGTCAGTTCTTCCTAATGTACCGTCAGCACGATCGGCGATTGTTGCAAAATGCTGTCTTCTACTGTTGCAAGATCAAAAAATGGCTATTAAAAACACAAAAACCTGCGCAAGAGCCTGTTCACAAGGCGGTGCGCGCTCCGAAACGGACTGCAACGAGACAAGAAAAGTAGCCTATACTTTGGGCTTCGTGTGTCCTCCTTAACTATCAAATATACATACAAATATCAAAATGACCAGCTCTGAGATTCGCTTAAACACAGTTTATTCACTTAAACACAATTATGTCTTAAATGGACATAAATAATAGGGAGAAATTGATGGTGCTTCAGTTACCGGTTACCGATTAGATTTGCTCTCGGTCTTAAAGGGGCAGCAGTCTAATAGCCTAAACGTGCTGACGATTCAGCCATTAATGCAAATCAAACAACAAAAGGCAGAGAAAATCACTCGCAGCTTTTGAATAAGTAACTTTAGATTAAATAAGCATTAATCTATCTATGATAAACTAGTGCTATTTTATATTTGATTACTAAATTAGGTTTCTTTTCAGACAGAAACAATTACCTGAAAAGATATGTTAGTACACCTTGCTGAAATTAAAGCACTTTTGTATATAATTTGTATCTTTGATTGATTTTATTCTTGTGTTTGTACTTGTTTTTTTTTCTTATGTGTCCTTTTTTATATAAAACAAAAAAGCCTGCACATTGCTGCATAACAAAAATATATTTTTCTTCGTTTTGCTTTTTCTATTTTACATTTCAAAATATAGAGTTTAATTATGTTCTTAATTCTTAAAAAAAAAAAAAAAAAAAACACCAAAAAGAACCGATAAGAATACCGTTAAAGTACCGGATCGATAAGCGGTATCGGTAAGAGTAGTAATACCGATAAAACCTTAACGATACCCATCCCTAGTGAGTACCCTTCTCTACTAGCACATGGGATGAAACTGGCTCTAAACGGAGACTATAATACCTCTTAAATGGGTTAGGTGTCGCTCAGCCGGCAGCTCTATAAATGTCTGCCAGCGAGGCTGCGCCAACGCCCAGGAGGAGGCAACACTCTAAGTTGAGTGAGCCCTCACTCTGAGGGGACACGGCTTGTCTTGATCCTGATACGCTAAGACGATGACATCCAGAGGGCCAACCTCTGCTAGGAGATCTTTCCCTTCTGCTGTCCTCCGTAACAGACAAAGAGCTGGTCTGAGGTTCTGAAGCTAGCAAAGCAAGAATGGGACACAGCAGAGGTAAGACTGGGTCTGCCTTCTCCAGGGCTAGTGCTTGCAAGTTCACCACCTTGTCCCTGAAAGGAGTGGTGGGAACTTTGCGCACGTATCCATGTTAAGGGACAGGATTTTAAGCTCTACTGACTGCAGTGGCTCGAAGGGCACTCTCTTGCAGAGCTGCTAAGACCAAGGAGACTATGGTCTAAAGATGACACAAGGTGAGGCAAAAAAATCTCCACAGGAATCTGATGATCAGGTTGTGCTTCTCGAAAGACTTACCCTCTACTGCGTCGTGATGTGCGGCAAAGCGGCGACATACACTTTCAGGGTGGAGGGAGAGGGCCTCTGCTCCAACCCTTCTTGCAGGAGGGAAAGCACAGCTCTGACAGAGGATTTCCAGGGTGGCTTCTCCTTGAATACCACTCGATGAACAGGTTCCACTTCAAAGCATAAGCTTCATGGAGTGTGCTCTTGGTCAAGTGGTGGTGTCAACTACTCATGGGGGTAGGTCAAATGAGTCCTTCGGGTACCTCGTCCCAGAGAAAGTAGCTACTTCCTCAGGGGAACCTGTCAGGGAGGGGCTGCCAAGGAGGGGATGAACAAATCTGAGTGGGCCAGTAAGGCACAATCATCAAGACTTGCTCTTCGTCTTTCATGACCTTGCACAGTGTCTGTGTGTGCAGGCTAAATGTGGAAAAAGCATATTTGTGTAGGCCCCGGAGGGCTGGCTGTGTGCCAGCACATGGTTCCCTGAGATAATGCGAATGAGTATCGCATAGACCAGTCATTCCCAAAGGCGGAGTCCTGACCCACAAGTGGGTCGCGAAAGATTTTGAATGGGTCGCCAAGTCGAGCACTATATTTCAGTGTGCTTTATACTCTCTAGATCAGGGCTATTCAATTGGCGGCCTGCGGGCAAAGTGCGGCCCGCCATGCATCTTCATACGGCCCGAGGGCACCCCAACCTCCTATTTTCTAGTGGTGCGGATATACCATGAGCGCTCCGACTGACCCGAGAGAAAAGTTTACAGTCCGAATATTTCAGCAGTTCTTATGTGTGTCCCGTATTTCTGTCGACTGAACCAGCGATATTAATCATTCATTGGTTTGATTATTTCCTTTCCATGAATTGGCCAAACGCGCGTGCATAACGGTCTGAAACGATTCGGATTCGTTCACCTGAAGCGTTTTCTCGGTCAGTAATAACAAATAGAGAACAAAACAGCGCTGGTTTCAGTTCTACCAGAAAGACTCGGGAGATAAGATACTGTACAATAAAGCATTTTATTAACAGCCCCGCAAGCCATATATGCAATAAAGTTCTTTGGCGTAGGCCCCGTCCGTAACTCGCGATTCGAGGGTACGTATTCTGCATATCCTGCCTGAAGATAAAGGCAGGGGCGCAGCCGACCCCCCCTTGGAGTTTTGGAAGGGACCGACCTGGTGGTGGTGGTGGGAAGGATGGAGCAAAGATCGTCTAAGTGGAGGTGGTGAGGATGGTGGTAAGTGAAGCGTCAGCATCTGTGAACTCAGACAAGTGTAAGTAAGGGTCTTTTATACTTCACGTATTAGAACGCGATTGGATAGATGAGAAGGTAATAATGACGTAACAATTGAGTCTTCCCGGCAGAACTTACGCTACGCTTTCATTCGTTTCACTAGTTTACTTTGAACTAGGCAGCACGGGCCAGTGGATAACGGAACGCAAAGCTTAAAGGAGTCGCGTTTACTCCCGGTCCCGGACACTATTATTAAACAGCGTTGTGACATCTAGAAAAGAATCGGACACTCCTCTCTCTTACAAACCACAAATCACTCAATGATTTTATCTAGTTTTAAATCGGATGAAACAGCCTTAACATTCCCAATAAATGTGGAATATGTATATTGAATACTATGTTATAGTCATTTATATTGCATTAGATTTATTAGGGGGGTAGAGGAATATATAATTAATTGTGCGTATAGTTTTTTTTTTTTTTTACCTGTTTAGGCATTTTTTATACAGTGGTAGTGAGCCATGCATGGTTACAACGTCTCTGTCATGATGTGGTTTTGTGTGTTTTTGTTATTAGTGATTCCCCGTCGATTATTTGTCCCAGGTGTTTCGTATTTCTCACGCCCCCTTGTTATCTTGTCTAGCTCGTTTGTCCTTGATTATTTAAGCCCTGT